AAAACGTGGGGGTGAAAGACACGCCCGCCGAATCAACAGCACGGCTAGCCCTGCAGCTCAGAGGATTTCAGTCCCCTCTTCAAGCATGGATTTACTGTGGAGAAAAGAGTGCAGAAGAAAGTTTGAACTTCCTACCACCAGCCAAGGCAACAGGCAGCCCTGACCACAGACGGCCCTGCCTCGCCCCTCTGCCCCCATTTAGGAGAAGGGCAGCGCTGTCCCTTGCTTCAGTTGTCACCTGCAGAGGCCCAGAGCCAGCATTTGGCCCAGCCGTGCCCGTGCCCACGCAGGCTACCCTGAGCGGGAGCCCCCGGGCTGAAGCTGGCACAGGGGTAGGAGACCCACACCCCCAGTGCCCGGGGGTGCATGAAACGGGGGCCAGCCCAGTCCCGCCAGCACTACTTACATGAACTGTAACGGGGGGTATTTTAACACCGTCCCGCTGAGCTCGGTGTCTTGTCAGCTGCCGTGACTAGACCAGACACATCTCAAACCGCACCTCAAAAATAAAAGCGTCTAAACCGCACGCTAACAGAGCCGAACCGCTCCTTCAGAAATCTTCCTGCTCTTTTCCTACGAAGTATCTCTGATCAGGCAAAACTGAAAATCCCCATTACACACACAGACTCTCTCACATGATTTTAATTCATGGAGGTAAAAATTCCCCGCCGCAGGGATTTTTCATTGTGTCACAAGGGGCTTAGGTCACTCCCATGCTGTTTTATTTATTAGAATAAAAAAAGCTCCAGGACCCCACTCCCCAACGTGACTCACATGACATCTCCAAGGTCAGCGTGTCCCTGCTGGGGTAGCAATCTGCTCCCAGCTCACCAGTGCGCACAGCCAGAGGTCTTAGCTTAGAATACCAGCTGGCCACATTAGTGAAAAAGATACTTTTTCGCTTCAGTTCTTCAGAAGCCGTCAGCTTTTCTTGGTGGAGTAGCAGCTTACCCAAGCCATCTGCACATGCAACATCTCAAGAACACGCTACGTTCATTCATCAGGGCTAAAGGAGAACTTGCAGAAAGACTTTCGCTGGTAGGCGTCGCAGTCAAGCTTCACCCGTGGCGAGGCTGCACGCCCTCTGCGCCGTACCCACCCACCGCACCCAGGCCAGGGCCACTCGCCGCTCAAAGCTAGCAGTCTCAGTCTTTAAGTCCATCATCGCTTTTCCACAGTGTGATCCGTTTGTGGGGCAAACGAATCCGTTTTCCTTTGCCTCCAGAGACAGGGCAGAGAAATTAGAGGCAACTCGTTAGTTCGAGATCTCTCCGTTCTTGGTCACTTTTCAAAC